AGTTAGTAAAATTTTTTTGACATAATATAAAAATAAAGTAGTTATAATTTTATTTTTAATTTAAAAAAAATATTTAGAAGTCAATGCTTTAGAAAAGCTCTATTAGAGAGCATTGAGGGTAGAGCACTTGACAGCATTTGCAGTTACTAAATGTTATATTTAATGTTTTGTCAACCAATCAAATTTTAATAATAAAAAACATAATGTTTGTTTGCTATGGCTACAACCTTTGATACAATGACTACTACAACAAAAACTATCAGAGAAATAACTACAACTTCTGAGATTGCTCCACTAGCTATAGCCACAGCGCAGGCTACACCTACTCTTACACAAACTGCAACCAACACAAAAGATGCTCCAGCTGCCACAGACCTGTAAAAGATCTCTCTACTTCATATAATTCATCAGTTTCACCTTGCAATATGAAACTAAAATATCAAATAAAACGGTGTAAACTTATGGATAAAAAGTATCAAACTTTAGGGATATTCGCAGAAAATCAAAAATCATGAACCAGATTCAGGGAAAAATTTAGCGCAGTCTCGAACTCAAACATAAGTGTCGTGGTATCAATCACTTTATCTAGCAAACTAAGATTTGAAACTCTCGTTTGAACCTAGAATTCTAGACGAGCATTAATGAGCTAGTTTGATTTGTTCACAAATTGCATTAACATCAACTTTCGTTGGCTAAGGACAATTTGCTCACCTAATGTTCTAGCAAGCAATCTATTACACTTTTGATGAATAGATTAAACCCTAAATCAGAGACTACACTACAAGAAAACAGGATCGTTTTCGACGGCCAAAACCGTCGGAAATCCATCGGAATAACTCCTATTCCGACGGCTTACCGACGGTTTTGGTCCGTCGGTTCTATCTCGTCGGAAATCCGTCGAAAATACTGACGGATTTCTGACGAAAAAGGGATAACCGGAATCCGTCGGAAATCCATCGGAAATACTGACGAATTTCCGACGGAAAAGGGATAACCGTAATCCGTCGGAATTCCATCGGAAGTCCGTCGGATTCCATATACCGACGGATTTCCGACGGCATGATTTACCGACGGAGTTCCGACGGCCAGGACTTCCGACGGATTTCCGACGACGGTGGTAACCGACGGATTTCCGACGGCACTTTTGCCGACGGATTTCCGACGGCTACGCAAACCGACGGAATTCCGACGGATTTATTATTTAAAAAAAAAAGATTTCT